AAACTTTATAGCAGCTCTAAAGTCTTACTTAACAGCCTAGTGTAAAGACAACCATTGTTTCCTAAAAGAAAAGAGCCTTTACTTAAGGCACTAGTTACAAAGCTAAAGAGGTCTTCATACGTTCAAGTTACTATTATTACCATTATTACAGTTTGCACGTGAATGTGTTGGACTTAGTTTCGTGGTTCGTACGTGAGAGAATTCGAGTCATCACATAGTAATCCAGTAAGGAGGATTATAGAAATAACTCATGCACACAATTTGCACGTGAAGATGTTGCACTTTGTCCCTTTTACAATTCGTACGTGAAAAAACGCAAATTGTTTACTGGAAAATTTGCTCAAACGATTTTAAGAAATTACCTCGGCTTTACAACATCTGCAATTAAATCATGCTTCATGCAACGTTAAGGTCGATAGCCTAACATTTATTTATTTCCCATAACATTATCAAACTGCCGAAATATATTTTTACTAATATCATGTTATTTCACTTAATAAAACAATATCTGATTATTTTGTCAACTAGCTTCTTCAAATTTTTATTCCCTAACGCTATTTTTTCTACTTAGGTTACGCATCTTTACTGAATGAAATACGTTTCAATAACTATAATGACTCTTAAGCAGCAAGCATGTGTCATGTTGTTCACTTAATATCAGTTATTGTTTCATTAAAAGACTTTTGAAAAAACATATGATCTTTTATACTCTACCTTGAAGCAAGTGAAACAGAACTCATAAATTATGAAATACGTGCGTTGTACCGTTCGCGATAGCCGCGTTAGGTCAGACATGTCTTGAAGCAGCACCCACACGAAAATACAGGAACCGTTAAACAGCTGCATCACTGTACTGAGTGTCTTAATCATGAAGATATTTAAATGTTATGCTTCTAAACACCTTTAGCCGTGTTAAAAGACGAAACAATTGTGAAGAATCAAGGTAGCGGTCTCAAAGTGCTCTTTTTTGACCTTTAGCAATGTCATGTTTAAGTGCCAAAATCTCACTGCTTCCTAGCATCAACTCATAGTACCTTCAACCTTATTGGTCCCTACCACAGACATCCGAACACACAAAGCCACAAAGCCAGAAAGATACATACGCTCAGACCACTGACATATGAGCTATTTTTTAAAAAAGTTCAATAATCGTATGTGTATGTGTAGTTGACCATTATCACATAAGAGTAGTGATTCACCAGATGGCGCAAACTCATAAGAAGGTAAATAAAATACACTCAGTGGAAATTCGAAGCTTAACGACAAACGCCTGCATACACATGAAAAGGACCCATCACCCTCCTCTGACACACCACTTAACCTCTTGGGCTTCATTCTCACTCGGATGATTCCATCATCTGATCGCACAAGAGGATATTCGATTCACCTTACCCAAAACATTGGCATCATCTCGAATACATCCTCACAAGGCGAGCTATCCTATCGTGCATCACGCTTACATGTACCTTCATGACAGCTCAGAAGGTGACACTGACCATTCCCCGGTGTATAGCAAAGTGAAACTACAGGCAAAGAGAATCTACCACGCAAAGACTGTGTGCAAACCATGCCTTGACGTCAGCAAGACTCGCGATGCACAGAAAGTGGAGGAGTTCATAACTACAATAAATCTCTCCCCCAGCCTCTCTATTGGAAAAGTCCAAGAAAGATTGGATTACTTCAGGGATGCAGTCAATGGATCAGCCATGCCCAACTTCGGCAAGAAGAAGAACAAATCTGCAGACTGTTCGAGGGGCATATAGAGACAATAACTCCAGCAACAGAAGAAAAGAGAAAAGTGTTAATTGGATAAAAGACCTGCCTAAGTGAACAAAATCTACAGGTTCTAGAGGCAGCACGTAGTGATGTGCAACGATGCAACAGACGCTGTGCAAATGAATACTGGCCTGAACTCTGTGCTAGTATTCATTCTGCTGTTAAGACATATTATTAAGGCCATATGTACGATGAAATCAAGCAGGCACTTGGTCGTTCTCAGAATAAAAATAGCCCCCTTAAATTTTGCTACGGGCGAGATAATCCAGGACCGAGCGCAACAGATGGAGCGCTGGGTAGAACAGTACCCTGAGCTGTCTGCCAGGGAGAGAATATGGTGTCTTTGGAAGCACTGAACGCCACAGGGTGCTTACTCATGTATAGTAAGTCTACTAAAGTGGAGCTGAAAGAGGCCCTGGAGTAGCTGCACCTGAAAAAGCGCGCGGCCAGGATGGTGATACCAGGGCGTGGGTGATACTTTGCCTGTGCTAGAGGGAAAAAAGGTACCATAATGATGAGAGACGCAAACATAGTCACTCTATACAAAAACAGGCCGGCCAGAAGAGACTGCACTAACAATTATCAAGGCATCGAATTCCCCATTATCGCTATAAAGCTCTTTGCTCGAGTAGTTGTGAAGGGTCTCCAAGTGCTTGCAGAGAGATTTTATCCTGACTCCTGTTTATCCTGTTTATCCTGTTTCCCTGCTAAACGATCAATACTATTAGGTCTAATTTCTTGTCCAGCCCGGCGATCAGTTTGGTCAAGGCTTCGCGGCAATGGCCACAAATGTTACCTTCATTTAACTTGACTTGTGTGCGTGTGTGTGTGTGCGTGCGTGCGTGTTTGTGTTTTAATGAATAATAAAATTACAAAAGAATAAAGTCAATCTTGTTAAAGGGCCATGATTAGTTTTACTATAATGTGCCCTTCTCCATTCTAATTTTCTTCTTTTATTATTATTATTATTATGTACACGTAGTTTAACCAATTTGTACCAATTGATATTGTACAACTAATATACTATCTATAGGATGGAGTAAAAATAAAATACAAAATACATTTAAATCATCTTTTGGGCGGCACTTTCTAGCTGACCTAGTGTTTTGACCTTTTTCGGCCAAAGCAGAGCCATTTAAGCTTACATAATCATATCACTTCAATTATGCAACTTGTTCAAAAGGAGGATATCGCTATCAACTGCATAAATCTCTATCCACAGGGATAATAAGATTGTTTTACTCCGCTGGATAGTGATTTATCCGATAGATAGCAACAACCGGGGTCTGGTGTAACTACATTTCCCCTTAAATAAGCGATTTTGTAAAATTTACACACGAACAATTTCGTCTCTGTGCGTAACAGTTACTTCACTTGAATCTTTCAGGCAGCCTAAGGATTAACCTGAGAGGCTCAATTTTCGTTTCGCTTTGTAATAACATTCCGGCGGGCAAGGCGATAGCCGTTAGAGAGAATGTATGAGAACCGCTAAAATTGGGCCTAATCTCAGGTTACCTAAGGATGTGTACTAAGAACTGAATCAGATTTTTCTAAATCTTAAGACTGGACTATCCAGTCATTGGCAACTTGTGACGCAATTAGATACTTCCGCAGTTTTTAAAATCCCCCATCACAAATTCTGTCCGAGGATCCTCAAGCGACGATGAAACGTGACCTTCATGCAAGATATAACAATAAGGCAAGTGATTCCGGAAGTCCTTAGCTCCTCGTGCGTTCAAAAGAATTTATGGACTTAAAATCCTTGACGCTCCATTTTGTTGTCGTTTTTTTTTAGCTTTACTTCCTACTTTCGAGTTTAAAACCTCCTCTTTTCAAACCAAATTATCTATAGTGTAATATATTCCTGTACATAATTATTTGCGTTCTACTGTTAGGGTTTCTACGGTAGCCCAGAAGGGTCACACATGCAAATTAAAAATGTTGCTGCAAACTAAAAATCTTACCTGCAAATTAGAAATGTTGCTGCAAATTAAAAATGGGACATGCAAATTAAAAATTGTACATGCAAACTAAAAATATTACAAACATGAAACATGAATGGGCCGACGGCTGTAAGGCCAGGTCGCACGGCTAGGACTAAGTCCTCATCACTCATACTGCGCCCGCAGGACTTTTCATTTTTAATTTGCATCGATATGTTTTCTATTTTCAATTTGCAACACAATTTTTAGTTTGCAAGTACTATATTTAATTTACAGGTAATATTTTTAATTTGCATGTACTATTTTTAATTTGCAGCAACGTTTTTAATTTGCATGTGTGGCCCTTCTGGGCCACCGTAGTTTTCTTTATAGTCTTAAATCATTATTACATGCATGCAATCCTTATTGATCACTGAAGAACCCAGATGGATATGTATTCAATAAAATGTATGTTATGTTAAAATATATTATTTTTATTTTATTCGCCCAATATTGTAAAAAATAATATTGTGCATTTGGTATTTGTAGCTATACATGAGCAGGAGATCTCAGCTCTCAGCAAGCTCTGCTGAGCCTTTCAGAGGAGATTCCCAACTTTACTTATCAATTAAATTACTTAACATATTGTTTGCCACTTAATATTACAATATAAACTCTATCGAATTTTAATGAAATGATGCAAGCTTATCAATTTTAGGAATTTTAATGTACTGTCACATGCCTTTCAACATTTTAGACGTTCTTTGAATTCTTCCAAAATAGTTGTTCCAAACTTAAAATTCTACAACAGAAACCACGTTTTTCAAAAATGCAAAGAAACCTAAAAACTAAACGATTTCTTGTAAATACAAGACTGCAGATACACGTTCTATAGACTTAAATTTCAACAAAAAGAACTCATGACCATTTACTTCAACAAGTTAACTGCTTTTATTAATGCAAGTAGCTTTATTTTGACGATTTGTGTAACCGAAATGTTTCGCAACTGTGTATTCCCGGGTAAGTCCATTTAACCGAAACAGAATGTTTCGTGGAATCACAGCTACGATATATAGCATCAGCTTAATTTACACTTTTATATGACACCTGACCACACCACAGATCCGTTACGTACAAGTTAATGTTTTCGTAGCTATTTCTTGAGCCAAAAGCATATTATTATAACGTTTCTAACTGGCTTCCTTATTTTTTTTATTTAAGATTACTTCTATTTCCGTAGAACTATTTGCTAATTATTCTGGTCTTGTCTTTTTACCTGTTTATGTTTCAAAACAGACCCATATGGTCAAGGTTCAAGAAGCTATTCACCATGGCATGATTGCCGCAGATTTTCTTTCAAACACTAAACGAGTTGTCCAGGCTATCGAGCTGTGGAACGAGTGCTTAATACTACTAAACAACAAAACCTTAAAAAACGAACATGAACTTGCCACAATAGTGACTATAGCGCTGTATAAGAAGCTCTTTTATGGAAATGCTGCTATTACGAAACTTTCACCAGCTATAGAATCTGGCAAAAAGCTTTCAGTCCTACTTCGTAATCGTAAGAGAAAAAAAGAAGAAGGTAACACAGCCTTGATGTTATCAAAACTGTACTTCCAAAAAAGTGAATACCAGGAAGCACAAGCATTACTCAAAACTGCACTCTGCGTTTACAAAGACCGAGAAGCGTCATGCTTTTTAAGCCTGGGAGCTATGTTTAGCTCTGTCGGTGAATATGCCGAGGCTGAAAAATATCTTCATAAAGCACTTATCATCAACACAAAAATTGGCGACAAACACGGACAAGCGTCATGCTACGGAAACCTAGGAAGTATGTTTCGATCTGTCGGAGAGTATGCCAAGGCTGAAGGATATCTTCATAAAGCACTTAACATCAACACAGAAATTGGCGACAGAAGGGGAGAAGCGTCATGCTACGGAAACCTAGGAGCTGTGTTTCAATCTGTCGGAGAATATGCAAAGGCCGAAGAATATCTTTATAAAGCACTTATCATCAGCACAGAAATTGGCGACAGAAAAGAAGAAGCGACATGCTTCAGAAACCTAGGGGCTGTGTTTCAATCTGTCGGAGAATATGCAAAGGCTGAAGAATATCTTTATAAAGCACTTACCATCAGCACAGAAATTGACGACACAGAGGGAGAAGCGACATGCTACAGAAACCTAGGGGCTGTGTTTCAATCTGTCGGAGAATATGCAAAGGCTGAAGAATATCTTTATAAAGCACTTACCATCAGCACAGAAATTGACGACACAGAGGGAGAAGCGACATGCTTCAGAAACCTAGGAGCTGTGTTTCAATCTGTCGGAGAATATGCCAAGGCTGAAGAATATCTTCATAAAGCACTTACCATCAGCACAGAAATTGGCGACAAACACGGACAAGCGTCATGCTACATAAACCTAGGAAATGTGTTTAAATCTGTCGGAGAGTATGCCAAGGCTGAAGAATATCTTCATAAAGCACTTACCATCAGCACAGAAATTGGCGACAGACAGGGAGAAGCGTCATGCTACAGAAACCTAGGAGCTGTGTTTCAATCTGTCGGAGAATATGCCAAGGCTGAAGAATATCTTCATAAAGCACTTATCATCAACACAAAAATTGACGACAAACACGGACAAGCGTCATGCTACGGAAACCTAGGAAGTATGTTTCGATCTGTCAGAGAGTATGCCAAGGCTGAAGGATATCTTCATAAAGCACTTAACATCAACACAGAAATTGGCGACAGAAGGGGAGAAGCGTCATGCTACGGAAACCTAGGAGCTGTGTTTCAATCTGTCGGAGAATATGCAAAGGCTGAAGAATATCTTTATAAAGCACTTATCATCAGCACAAAAATTGGCGACAGAAAAGAAGAAGCGACATGCTTCAGAAACCTAGGAGCTGTGTTTCAATCTGTCGGAGAATATGCCGAAGCTAAAGAATATCTTCATAAAGCACTTACCATGAGCACAGAAATTGGCGACAGAGAAGAAGAAGCGACATCCTACAGAAACCTAGGAGCTGTGTTTCAATCTGTCGGAGAATATGCCAAGGCTGAAGAATATCTTCATAAAGCACTTACCATCAGCACAGAAATTGGCGACAGAGAGGAAGAAGCGACATGCTACAGAAACCTAGGAGCTGTGTTTCAATCTGTCGGAGAATATGCAAAGGCTGAAGAATATCTTCATAAAGCACTTACCATCAGCACAGAAATTGGCGACAGAGAGGGAGAAGCGACATGCTTCAGAAAACTAGGAGCTGTGTTTCAATCTGTCGGAGAATATGCCAAGGCTGAAGAATATCTTCATAAAGCACTTACCATCGGCACAGAAATTGGCGAAAGAGAAGAAGAAGCGACATGCTACAGAAACCTAAGAGCTGTGTTTCAATCTGTCGGAGAATATGCCAAGGCTGAAGAATATCTTCATAAAGCACTTATCATCAACACAAAAATTGGCGACAAACACGGACAAGCGTCATGCTACGGAAACCTAGGAAGTATGTTTCGATCTGTGGGAGAGTATGCCAAGGCTGAAGGATATCTTCATAAAGCACTTAACATCAACACAGAAATTGGCGACAGAAGGGGAGAAGCGTCATGCTATGGAAACCTGGGAGCTGTGTTTCAATCTGTCGGAGAATATGCAAAGGCTGAAGAATATCTTTATAAAGCACTTATCATCAGCACAAAAATTGGCGACAGAAAAGAAGAAGCGACATGCTTCAGAAACCTAGGAGCTGTGTTTCAATCTGTCGGAGAATATGCAAAGGCTGAAGAATATCTTTATAAAGCACTTACCATCAGCACAGAAATTGGCGACAGAGAGGGAGAAGCGACATGCTTCAGAAACCTAGGAGCTGTGTTTCAATCTGTCGGAGAATATGCCAAGGCTGAAGAATATCTTCATAAAGCACTTATCATCAACACAAAAATTGGCGACAAACACGGACAAGCGTCATGCTACGGAAACCTAGGAAGTATGTTTCGATCTGTCGGAGAGTATGCCAAGGCTGAAGGATATCTTCATAAAGCACTTAACATCAACACAGAAATTGGCGACAGAAGGGGAGAAGCGTCATGCTACGGAAACCTGGGAGCTGTGTTTCAATCTGTCGGAGAATATGCAAAGGCTGAAGAATATCTTTATAAAGCACTTATCATCAGCACAGAAATTGGCGACAGAAAAGAAGAAGCGACATGCTTCAGAAACCTAGGAGCTGTGTTTCAATCTGTCGGAGAATATGCCAAGGCTGAAGAATATCTTCATAAAGCACTTACCATCAGCACAGAAATTGGCGACAAACACGGACAAGCGTCATGCTACATAAACCTAGGGAATGTGTTTAAATCTGTCGGAGAGTATGCAAAGGCTGAAGAATATCTTCATAAAGCACTTACAATCAGCACAGAAATTGGCGACAGAAAGGGAGAAGCGTCATGCTACGGAAATCTAGGAAATGTGTTTAAATCTGTCGGAGAATATGCCAAGGCTGAAGAATATCTTCATAAAGCATTTAACATCAGCACAGAAATTGGCGACAGAGAAGAAGAAGCGACATGCTACAGAAACCTAGGAGCTGTGTTTCAATCTGTCGGAGAATATGCCGAAGCTGAAGAATATCTTCATAAAGCACTTACCATCAGCACAGAAATTGGCGACAGAGAAGAAGAAGCCACATGCTACAGAAACCTAGGAGCTGAGTTTCAATCTGTCGGAGAATATGCCAAGGCTGAAGAATATCTTCATAAAGCACTTACCATCAGCACAGAAATTGGCGACAGAGAAGAAGAAGCGACATGCTACAGAAACCTAGGAGCTGTGTTTCAATCTGTCGGAGAATATGCCAAGGCTGAAGAATATCTTCATAAAGCACTTATCATCAACACAAAAATTGGCGACAAACACGGACAAGCGTCATGCTACGGAAACCTAGGAAGTATGTTTCGATCTGTCGGAGAGTATGCCAAGGCTGAAGGATATCTTCATAAAGCACTTAACATCAACACAGAAATTGGCGACAGAAGGGGAGAAGCGTCATGCTACGGAAACCTAGGAGCTGTGTTTCAATCTGTCGGAGAATATGCAAAGGCTGAAGAATATCTTTATAAAGCACTTATCATCAGCACAAAAATTGGCGACAGAAAAGAAGAAGCGACATGCTTCAGAAACCTAGGAGCTGTGTTTCAATCTGTCGGAGAATATGCAAAGGCTGAAGAATATCTTTATAAAGCACTTACCATCAGCACAGAAATTGGCGACAGAGAGGGAGAAGCGACATGCTTCAGAAACCTAGGAGCTGTGTTTCAATCTGTCGGAGAATATGCCAAGGCTGAAGAATATCTTCATAAAGCACTTACCATCAGCACAGAAATTGGCGACAAACACGGACAAGCGTCATGCTACATAAACCTAGGAAATGTGTTTAAATCTGTCGGAGAGTATGCCAAGGCTGAAGAATATCTTCATAAAGCACTTACCATCAGCACAGAAATTGGCGACAGAAAGGGAGAAGCGTCATGCTACGGAAACCTAGGAAATGTGTTTAAATCTGACGGAGAATATGCCAAGGCTGAAGAATATCTTCATAAAGCACTTACCATCGGCACAGAAATTGGCGACAGAGAAGAAGAAGCGACATGCTACAGAAACCTAGGAGCTGTGTTTCAATCTGTCGGAGAATATGCCAAGACTGAAGAATATCTTCATAAAGCACTTATCATCAACACAAAAATTGGCGACAAACACGGACAAGCCTCATGCTACGGAAACCTAGGAAGTATGTTTCGATCTGTCGGAGAGTATGCCAAGGCTGAAGGATATCTTCATAAAGCACTTAACATCAACACAGAAATTGGCGACAGAAGGGGAGAAGCGTCATGCTACGGAAACCTAGGAGCTGTGTTTCAATCTGTCGGAGAATATGCAAAGGCTGAAGAATATCTTTATAAAGCACTTATCATCAGCACAAAAATTGGCGACAGAAAAGAAGAAGCGACATGCTTCAGAAACCTAGGAGCTGTGTTTCAATCTGTCGGAGAATATGCAAAGGCTGAAGAATATCTTTATAAAGCACTTACCATCAGCACAGAAATTGACGACACAGAGGGAGAAGCGACATGCCTCAGAAACCTAGGAGCTGTGTTTCAATCTGTCGGAGAATATGCCAAGGCTGAAGAATATCTTCATAAAGCACTTACCATCAGCACAGAAATTGGCGACCAACACGGACAAGCGTCATGCTACATAAACCTAGGAAATGTGTTTAAATCTGTCGGAGAGTATGCCAAGGCTGAAGAATATCTTCATAAAGCACTTACCATCAGCACAGAAATTGGCGACAGAAAGGGAGAAGCGTCGTGCTACGGAAACCTAGGAAATGTGTTTAACTCTGTCGGAGAATATGCCAAGGCTGAAGAATATCTTCATAAAGCACTTACCATCAGCACAGAAATTGGCGACAGAGAAGAAGAAGCGACATGCTACAGAAACCTAGGAGCTGTGTTTCAATCTGTCGGAGAATATGCCAAGGCTGAAGAATATCTTCATAAAGCACTTATCATCAACACAAAAATTGGCGACAAACACGGACAAGCGTCATGCTACGGAAACCTAGGAAGTATGTTTCGATCTGTCGGAGAGTATGCCAAGGCTGAAGGATATCTTCATAAAGCACTTAACATCAACACAGAAATTGGCGACAGAAGGGGAGAAGCGTCATGCTACGGAAACCTAGGAGCTGTGTTTCAATCTGTTGGAGAATATGCAAAGGCTGAAGAATATCTTTATAAAGCACTTACCATCAGCACAGAAATTGACGACACAGAGGGAGAAGCGACATGCTTCAGAAACCTAGGAGCTGTGTTTCAATCTGTCGGAGAATATGCCAAGGCTGAAGAATATCTTCATAAAGCACTTACCATCAGCACAGAAATTGGCGACCAACACGGACAAGCGTCATGCTACATAAACCTAGGAAATGTGTTTAAATCTGTCGGAGAGTATGCCAAGGCTGAAGAATATCTTCATAAAGCACTTACCATCAGCACAGAAATTGGCGACAGAAAGGGAGAAGCGTCGTGCTACGGAAACCTAGGAAATGTGTTTAACTCTGTCGGAGAATATGCCAAGGCTGAAGAATATCTTCATAAAGCACTTACCATCAGCACAGAAATTGGCGACAGAGAAGAAGAAGCGACATGCTACAGAAACCTAGGAGCTGTGTTTCAATCTGTCGGAGAATATGCCAAGGCTGAAGAATATCTTCATAAAGCACTTATCATCAACACAAAAATTGGCGACAAACACGGACAAGCGTCATGCTACGGAAACCTAGGAAGTATGTTTCGATCTGTCGGAGAGTATGCCAAGGCTGAAGGATATCTTCATAAAGCACTTAACATCAACACAGAAATTGGCGACAGAAGGGGAGAAGCGTCATGCTACGGAAACCTAGGAGCTGTGTTTCAATCTGTTGGAGAATATGCAAAGGCTGAAGAATATCTTTATAACGCACTTATCATCAGCACAAAAATTGGCGACAGAAAAGAAGAAGCGACATGCTTCAGAAACCTAGGAGCTGTGTTTCAATCTGTCGGAGAATATGCAAAGGCTGAAGAATATCTTTATAAAGAACTTACCGTCAGCACAGAAATTGGCGACAGAGAGGGAGAAGCGACATGCTTCAGAAACCTAGGAGCTGTGTTTCAATCTGTCGGAGAATATGCCAATGCTGAAGAATATCTTCATAAAGCACTTACCATCAGCACAGAAATTGGCGACAAACACGGACAAGCGTCATGCTACATAAACCTAGGAAATGTGTTTAAATCTGTCGGAGAGTATGCCAAGGCTGAAGAATATCTTCATAAAGCACTTACCATCAGCACAGAAATTGGCGACAGAAAGGGAGAAGCGTCATGCTACGGAAACCTAGGAAATGTGTTTAAATCTGTCGGAGAATATGCCAAGGCTGAAGAATATCTTCATAAAGCACTTACCATCAGCACAGAAATTGGCGACAGAGAAGAAGAAGCGACATGCTACAGAAACCTAGGAGCTGTGTTTCAATCTGTCGGAGAATATGCCAAGGCTGAAGAATATCTTCATAAAGCACTTACCATCAGGACAGAAATTGGCGACAGAGAGGAAGAAGCGACATGCTACAGAAACCTAGGAGCTGTGTTTCAATCTCTCGGAGAATATGCCAAGGCTGAAGAATATCTTCATAAAGCACTTACCATCAGCACAGAAATTGGCGACAGAGAACAAGAAGCGACATGCTACAGAAACCTAGGAGCTGTGTTTCAATCTGTCGGAGAATATGCCAAGGCTGAAGAATATCTTCATAAAGCACTTATCATCAACACAAAAATTGGCGACAAACACGGACAAGCGTCATGCTACGGAAACCTAGGAAGTATGTTTCGATCTGTGGGAGAGTATGCCAAGGCTGAAGGATATCTTCATAAAGCACTTAACATCAACACAGAAATTGGCGACAGAAGGGGAGAAGCGTCATGCTACGGAAACCTAGGAGCTGTGTTTCAATCTGTCGGAGAATATGCAAAGGCTGAAGAATATCTTTATAAAGCACTTATCATCAGCACAGAAATTGGCGACAGAAAAGAAGAATCGACATGCTTCAGAAACCTAGGAGCTGTGTTTCAATCTGTCGGAGAATATGCCGAAGCTAAAGAATATCTTCATAAAGCACTTACCATGAGCACAGAAATTGGCGACAGAGAAGAAGAAGCGACATGCTACAGAAACCTAGGAGCTGTGTTTCAATCTATCGGAGAATATGCAAAGGCTGAAGAATATCTTCATAAAGCACTTACCATCAGCACAGAAATTGGCGACAGAGAGGAAGAAGCGACATGCTACAGAAACCTAGGAGCTGTGTTTCAATCTGTCGGAGACTATGCAAAGGCTGAAGAATATCTTCATAAAGCACTTACCATCAGCACAGAAATTGGCGACAGAGAGGGAGAAGCGACATGCTTCAGAAAACTAGGAGCTGTGTTTCAATCTGTCGGAGAATATGCCAAGGCTGAAGAATATCTTCATAAAGCACTTACCATCGGCACAGAAATTGGCGAAAGAGAAGAAGAAGCGACATGCTACAGAAACCTAAGAGCTGTGTTTCAATCTGTCGGAGAATATACCAAGGCTGAAGAATATCTTCATAAAGCACTTATCATCAACACAAAAATTGGCGACAAACACGGACAAGCGTCATGCTACGGAAACCTAGGAAGTATGTTTCGATCTGTGGGAGAGTATGCCAAGGCTGAAGGATATCTTCATAAAGCACTTAACATCAACACAGAAATTGGCGACAGAAGGGGAGAAGCGTCATGCTACGGAAACCTGGGAGCTGTGTTTCAATCTGTCGGAGAATATGCAAAGGCTGAAGAATATCTTTATAAAGCACTTATCATCAGCACAAAAATTGGCGACAGAAAAGAAGAAGCGACATGCTTCAGAAACCTAGGAGCTGTGTTTCAATCTGTCGGAGAATATGCAAAGGCTGAAGAATATCTTTGTAAAGCACTTACCATCAGCACAGAAATTGGCGACAGAGAGGGAGAAGCGACATGCTTCAGAAACCTAGGAGCTGTGTTTCAATCTGTCGGAGAATATGCCAAGGCTGAAGAATATCTTCATAAAGCACTTATCATCAACACAAAAATTGGCGACAAACACGGACAAGCGTCATGCTACGGAAACCTAGGAAGTATGTTTCGATCTGTCGGAGAGTATGCCAAGGCTGAAGGATATCTTCATAAAGCACTTAACATCAACACAGAAATTGGCGACAGAAGGGGAGAAGCGTCATGCTACGGAAACCTAGGAGCTGTGTTTCAATCTGTCGGAGAATATGCAAAGGCTGAAGAATATCTTTATAAAGCACTTATCATCAGCACAGAAATTGGCGACAGAAAAGAAGAAGCGACATGCTTCAGAAACCTAGGAGCTGTGTTTCAATCTGTCGGAGAATATGCCAAGGCTGAAGAATATCTTCATAAAGCACTTACCATCAGCACAGAAATTGGCGACAAACACGGACAAGCGTCATGCTACATAAACCTAGGGAATGTGTTTAAATCTGTCGGAGAGTATGCAAAGGCTGAAGAATATCTTCATAAAGCACTTACAATCAGCACAGAAATTGGCGACAGAAAGGGAGAAGCGTCATGCTACGGAAATCTAGGAAATGTGTTTAAATCTGTCGGAGAATATGCCAAGGCTGAAGAATATCTTCATAAAGCACTTAACATCAGCACAGAAATTGGCGACAGAGAAGAAGAAGCGACATGCTACAGAAACCTAGGAGCTGTGTTTCAATCTGTCGGAGAATATGCCGAGGCTGAAGAATATCTTCATAAAGCACTTACCATCAGCACAGAAATTGGCGACAGAGAAGAAGAAGCGACATGCTACAGAAACCTAGGAGCTGTGTTTCAATCTGTTGGAGAATATGCCAAGGCTGAAGAATATCTTCATAAAGCACTTACCATCAGCACAGAAATTGGCGACAGAGAAGAAGAAGCGACATGCTACAGAAACCTAGGAGCTGTGTTTCAATCTGTCGGAGAATATGCCAAGGCTGAAGAATATCTTCATAAAGCACTTATCATCAACACAAAAATTGGCGACAAACACGGACAAGCGTCATGCTACGGAAACCTAGGAAGTATGTTTCGATCTGTCGGAGAGTATGCCAAGGCTGAAGGATATCTTCATAAAGCACTTAACATCAACACAGAAATTGGCGACAGAAGGGGAGAAGCGTCATGCTACGGAAACCTAGGAGCTGTGTTTCAATCTGCCGGAGAATATGCAAAGGCTGAAGAATATCTTTATAAAGCACTTATCATCAGCACAAAAATTGGCGACAGAAAAGAAGAAGCGACATGCTTCAGAAACCTAGGAGCTGTGTTTCAATCTGTCGGAGAATATGCAAGGGCTGAAGAATATCTTTATAAAGCACTTACCATCAGCACAGAAATTGGCGACAGAGAGGGAGAAGCGACATGCTTCAGAAACCTAGGAGCTGTGTTTCAATCTGTCGGAGAATATGCCAAGGCTGAAGAATATCTTCATAAAGCACTTACCATCAGCACAGAAATTGGCGACAAACACGGACAAGCGTCATGCTACATAAACCTAGGAAATGTGTTTAAATCTGTCGGAGAGTATGCCAAGGCTGAAGAATATCTTCATAAAGCACTTACCATCAGCACAGAAATTGGCGACAGAAAGGGAGAAACGTCATGCTACGGAAACCTAGGAAATGTGTTTAACTCTGTCGGAGAATATGCCAAGGCTGAAGAATATCTTCATAAAGCACTTACCATCAGCACAGAAATTGGCGACAGAGAAGAAGAAGCGACATGCTACAGAAACCTAGGAGCTGTGTTTCAATCTGTCGGAGAATATGCCAAGGCTGAAGAATATCTTCATAAAGCACTTATCATCAACACAAAAATTGGCGACAAACACGGACAAGCGTCATGCTACGGAAACCTAGGAAGTATGTTTCGATCTGTCGGAGAGTATGCCAAGGCTGAAGGATATCTTCATAAAGCACTTAACATCAACACAGAAATTGGCGACAGAAGGGGAGAAGCGTCGTGCTACGGAAACCTAGGAGCTGTGTTTCAATCTGTCGGAGAATATGCAAAGGCTGAAGAATATCTTTATAAAGCACTTATCATCAGCACAAAAATTGGCGACAGAAAAGAAGAAGCGACATGCTTCAGAAACCTAGGAGCTGTGTTTCAATCTGTCGGAGAATATGCAAAGGCTAAAGAATATCTTTATAAAGCATTTACCATCAGCACAGAAATTGGCGACAGAGAGGGAGAAGCGACATGCTTCAGAAACCTAGGAGCTGTGTTTCAATCTGTCGGAGAATATGCCAAGGCTGAAGAATATCTTCATAAAGCACTTACCATCAGCACAGAAATTGGCGACAAACACGGACAAGCGTCATGCTACATAAACCTAGGAAATGTGTTTAAATCTGTCGGAGAGTATGCCAAGGCTGAAGAATATCTTCATAAAGCACTTACCATCAGCACAGAAATTGGCGACAGAAAGGGAGAAGCGTCATGCTACGGAAACCTAGGAAATATGTTTAAATCTGTCGGAGAATATGCCAAGGCTGAAGAATATCTTCATAAAGCACTTAGCATCGGCAAAGAAATTGGCGACAGAGAAGAAGAAGCGACATGCTACAGAAACCTAGGAGCTGTGTTTCAATCTGTCGGAGAATATGCCAAGGCTGAAGAATATCTTCATAAAGCACTTACCATCAGCACAGAAATTGGCGACAGAGAGGAAGAAGCGACATGCTACAGAAACCTAGGAGCTGTGTTTCAATCTGTCGGAGAATATGCCAAGGCTGAAGAATATCTTCATAAAGCAGTTACCATCAGCACAGAAATTGGCGACAAAGAAGAAGAAGCGACATGCTACAGAAACCTAGGAGCTGTGTTTCAATCTGTCGGAGAATATGCCAAGGCTGAAGAATATCTTCATAAAGCACTTATCGTCAACACAAAAATTGGCGACAAACACGGACAAGCGTCATGCTACGGAAACCTTGGAAGTATGTTTCGATCTGTCAGAGAGTATGCCAAGGCTGAAGGATATCTTCATAAAGCACTTAACATCAACACAGAAATTGGCGACAGAAGGGGAGAAGCGTCATGCTACGGAAACCTAGGAGCTGTGTTTCAATCTGTCGGAGAATATGCAAAGGCTGAAGAATATCTTTATAAAGCACTTATCATCAGCACAGAAATTGGCGACAGAAAAGAAGAAGCGACATGCTTCAGAATTCTAGGAGCTGTGTTTCAATCTGTCGGAGAATATGCCGAAGCTAAAGAATATCTTCATAAAGCACTTACCATGAGCACAGAAATTGGCGACAGAGAAGAAGAAGCGACATGCTACAGAAACCTAGGAGCTGTGTTTCAATCTGTCGGAGAATATGCAAAGGCTGAAGAATATCTTCATACAGCACTTACCATCAGCACAGAAATTGGCGACAGAGAGGAAGAAGCGACATGCTACAGAAACCTAGGAGCTGTGTTTCAATCTGTCGGAGAATATGCAAAGGCTGAAGAATATCTTCATAAAGCACTTACCATCAGCACAGAAATTGGCGACAGAGAGGGAGAAGCGACATGCTTCAGAAAACTAGGAGCTGTGTTTCAATCTGTCGGAGAATATGCCAAGGCTGAAGAATATCTTCATAAAGCACTTACCATCGGCACAGAAATTGGCGAAAGAGAAGAAGAAGCGACATGCTACAGAAACCTAAGAGCTGTGTTTCCATCTGTCGGAGAATATGCCAAGGCTGAAGAATATCTTCATAAAGCACTTATCATCAACACAAAAATTGGCGACAAACACGGACAAGCGTCATGCTACGGAAACCTAGGAAGTATGTTTCGATCTGTGGGAGAGTATGCCAAGGCTGAAGGATATCTTCATAAAGCACTTAACATCAACACAGAAATTGGCGACAGAAGGGGAGAAGCGTCATGCTACGGAAACCTGGGAGCTGTGTTTCAATCTGTCGGAGAATATGCAAAGGCTGAAGAATATCTTTATAAAGCACTTATCATCAGCACAAAAATTGGCGACAGAAAAGAAGAAGCGACATGCTTCAGAAACCTAGGAGCTGTGTTTCAATCTGTCGGAGAATATGCAAAGGCTGAAGAATATCTTTATAAAGCACTTACCATCAGCACAGAAATTGGCGACAGAGAGGGAGAAGCGACATGCTTCAGAAACCTAGGAGCTGTGTTTCAATCTGTCGGAGAATATGCCAAGGCTGAAGAATATCTTCATAAAGCACTTATCATCAACACAAAAATTGGCGACAAACAGGGACAAGCGTCATGCTACGGAAACCTAGGAAGTATGTTTCGATCTGTCGGAGAGTATGCCAAGGCTGAAGGATATCTTCATAAAGCACTTAACATCAACACAGAAATTGGCGACAGAAGGGGAGAAGCGTCATGCTACGGAAACCTAGGAGCTGTGTTTCAATCTGTCGGAGAATATGCAAAGGCTGAAGAATATCTTTATAAAGCACTTATCATCAGCACAGAAATTGGCGACAGAAAAGAAGAAGCGACATGCTTCAGAAACCTAGGAGCTGTGTTTCAATCTGTCGGAGAATATGCCAAGGCTGAAGAATATCTTCATAAAGCACTTACCATCAGCACAGAAATTGGCGACAAACACGGACAAGCGTCATGCTACATAAACCTAGGGAATGTGTTTAAATCTGTCGGAGAGTATGGCAAGGCTGAAGAATATCTTCATAAAGCACTTACAATCAGCACAGAAATTGGCGACAGAAAGGGAGAAGCGTCATGCTACGGAAATCTAGGAAATGTGTTTAAATCTGTCGGAGAATATGCCAAGGCTGAAGAATATCTTCATAAAGCACTTAACATCAGCACAGAAATTGGCGACAGAGAAGAAGAAGCGACATGCTACAGAAACCTAGGAGCTGTGTTTCAATCTGTCGGAGAATATGCCGAAGCTGAAGAATATCTTCATAAAGCACTTACCATCAGCACAGAAATTGGCGACAGAGAAGAAGAAGCGACATGCTACAGAAACCTAGGAGCTGTGTTTCAATCTGTCGGAGAATATGCCAAGGCTGAAGAATATATTCATAAAGCACTTACCATCAGCACAGAAATTGGCGACAGAGAAGAAGAAGCGACATGCTACAGAAACCTAGGAGCTGTGTTTCAATCTGTCGGAGAATATGCCAAGGCTGAAGAATATCTTCATAAAGCACTTATCATCAACACAAAAATTGGCGACAAACACGGACAAGCGTCATGCTACGGAAACCTAGGAAGTATGTTTCGATCTGTCGGAGAGTATGCCAAGGCTGAAGGATATCTTCATAAAGCACTTAACATCAACACAGAAATTGGCGACAGAAGGGGAGAAGCGTCATGCTACGGAAACCTAGGAGCTGTGTTTCAATCTGTCGGAGAATATGCAAAGGCTGAAGAATATCTTTATAAAGCACTTATCATCAGCACAAAAATTGGCGACAGAAAAGAAGAAGCGACATGCTTCAGAAACCTAGGAGCTGTGTTTCAATCTGTCGGAGAATATGCAAAGGCTGAAGAATATCTTTATAAAGCACTTACCATCAGCACAGAAATTGGCGACAGAGAGGGAGAAGCGACATGCTTCAGAAACCTAGGAGCTGTGTTTCAATCTGTCGGAGAATATGCCAAGGCTGAAGAATATCTTCATAAAGCACTTACCATCAGCACAGAAATTGGCGACAAACACGGACAAGCGTCATGCTACATAAACCTAGGAAATGTGTTTAAATCTGTCGGAGAGTATGCCAAGGCTGAAGAATATCTTCATAAAGCACTTACCATCAGCACAGAAATTGGCGACAGAAAGGGAGAAGCGTCATGCTACGGAAACCTAGGAAATGTGTTTACCTCTGTCGGAGAATATGCCAAGGCTGAAGAATATCTTCATAAAGCACTTACCATCAGCACAAAAATTGGCGACAGAGAAGGAAAAGCGACATGTTTCGTAAACCTAGGAGCTCTGTTCACATATGTCGGAGAATATGCCAAGGCTGAAGAATATCTTCATACAGCACTTACCATTAGCACAGAAATTGGCGACAGAGAAGGAGAAGCGACATGCTTCGTAAACCTAGGAGCTCTGTTCTCATCTGTCGGAGAATATGCCGAAGCTGAAGAATATCTTCATAAAGCACTTACCATTAGCACAGAAATTGGCGACAGAGAAGGAGAAGCGACATGCTTCGTAAACCTAGGAGCTCTGTTCACATCTGTCGGAGAATATGCCAAGGCTGAAGAATATCTTCATAAAGGACTTACCATGGAGACCGAAATCGGTAACAAAGACGGAGAAGCGGCATGCTACATGATACTAGGAACTCTGATATTTAAGGCTGGTGAATGTGTGAAGGCTCAGAAACATTTTGAGAATGCTCTTGAAATTAGTAGGGGGACTGGAAACATCGCTTTGCAATTTGAAACTTCTCTTGTTCTAAATGAGTGTTCTTTTAAAATAACAGGAAACATATCTGAAGCCTTATCCAATCTCCGGACAAGCATTCAAATTTGGGAAAAAATGCTTATTTCAGATCGCCGCAATATATCATTTTTTGACAAAAACGCGTCTCCCTATCGGCTGTTTTGTTCATTGAGTTGCTCTAGTGGGAAACCCTATGAAGCTTTACAC